AATTTTGCTTGATCGTTACAGACAGTCACTCTTAATTATGTAACACATGTTATTTAAATCGTCATTCTTGCATGTGTTTTCTTCCCCCCTTTTTATGGTTTCAACGAGTATTAAAGTCTCTATGTTTGCCCATCGTCCTACTGCAATCTCTTCTCCATCTTTCTTTAGATAGTCTATCCCACTAAGCCTTTCTCCACCCATGTCTGTAGTTTTTCTTTTCCTGTTGAACCTTTGTTTCTCTCTAGGTACCTTGTCATCGTTGGCACCAAATGGATTTCTACAATTTCTGCACTTACAGTATTCTTGCCAGCCTTTACTTGATTTTAGACATGGGCAACGTGATCCATACTTTGATGTTGGGTCACAATAGATTCTATCAACTTCTTTTGAATTCTTCCCACAAGAACAACAGGACTTCGTTTTATTGACAGATACCGGCTGGTTGGATTCGTTGTCCTCCATAATAGCATCATAAATCCCACAGTTTGAATAGTCAAATGCCATGTAAATTACTTTTGAATCTTCCAGACCATCAAGTGGGTGAATTGTCAAAACTGGAAAATTAGGAAGTGATGTAAATAAAACCAAAGGAATCTTTAGAACATTGGCCAGACTAAATGCCATCAAGTCTCCAATATCTCCTGCAAATTTATTTGGTAGACGATATTTGTCCATTTCCTTTGGAAATTTTTCACGGACTTTTGTGGACAACTTTTCTGAGTATATTTCAGAATTTCTTTTCCATTCCTCGACCATCAAATGTCTTAGCTGAAGTGACATATCTACTGTACTTTGAGAAATGTTCAACCCCAGAAATCTCATGTGTGAAACAAACAAAGACTCGCGACTCTCAATATTTGGAGTGGATAATGCTTGACATATTCCAAATGCAACAGAATTAAATAGACAGTTTCCATCACGTTTGATTTCGACCACCTTCATTCCATGTTGATGTATTGGTGCTATTGTATCGTTTTCCTTTGTTTTCACAAGAGTTCCATGATTCAATGCAGCTTTCATAATGCCATGCCTAAGTGATGAAATCAGGAAGATATCACATAGAAAGGAATTTTTTTCTTTATTGTAGAAGGTAAACTTTTTAAAAAATTGATTTTTTTCTTCACATTGTCAATAATTCCAGATATAAAATTGGCCGAGAAGACTTTTCCAACGCATGGATTCGATTGATCATCATTGGAAATAACAGGTTTTGTAACACCAATACCAAATGTTTCCTTATTGCCTTTGTTGGTATTGCCAGTGAAAGCCTGTGCATGCGGATTAACTGCTACTGATTTTGCAATAGCTGCAAGCTTCTTAGGTCTTATGGAAGGTTAAAAACCGTCTTGAATCTTTAAATGACAGTGTCAAATACTAATATAATAATAAAAATAATTTATAATAATAATAATAATAATTTATTAGCATTACACAGTGTCCCAATGCTTTAAAAAATGTGAACTGTAAACTTAAACCATAATGTGTAATGGACTCACCTCTTCCTCCCCCTTTTCCTCCTTCTCTTCTTTCCTCTTTCCCCTGCTGGTAACCTTCCTGTCCTCCTTCTTACGTTCCACCTGTTCTTTGCGTCCTGCAACCTGTAATAATGTAATGTAATGATCTGTCAGGACAGATCTGCAGTATGACTTTGTGGGCATTTTGGATGATTAATTCTACCCATGAGTTCACCCAAACAACTGTGTTGATCCGGAGAAACCTCTCATCTACCAAGGACTCACAAGATCTTACCAAGGTCTCACAAGATCTTACCAAGGTCTCACAAGATCTTACCAAGGTCTCACGTATTTGGAAATAGTTTATCCGTGAAACTCGACCTTTTTCATGCCGTGCAAAGAATTACGACATCTATGAACAAACGCCATACCTTATACAACAACTGTGTACCTGAACTCAGGATGGGTTTTCGGCGCAAGGAGGACACCGGCCCTAAACGTACGATGGCTACACCTCAAAAGTACGAGCTCTTGTCAAACCTTGAACATTTCGCTAAAAAATGGAAACACATCAGCAACAAAGATGGAGGTGTTGAGAAATTACTCCGTGATGAATTTGACGATCGCATCATAAACGTAAAAGAACACATTAAGAATGGATGTCTCTCTGACATTCCCCCAGGATACAGTACCAGCAGAATGTTTTGGGAGGTATCTAGTATACATGTATGATTTCAGCAATAATCGTCTTGTATATCAAAAACGCATTTTAACTTTTGCAAAGTAGAAACAGCAAATGTAGCGAGGTAGTTTTTTTTCGGGATTGGGCAATTCGGTGTATCACGATACGTAATCATCGTCTATTGGACATTGTATCATATTCCATATTCCTTTCCGTTTGAGGAGAGAAGTGTGCGGCGGGGAGAGATCTGAGGATCATCGCAATTGGACACTTTCGTCGGCTCTAGCACTGCTTGGTCCATGTTCTCACCCGTCCAGGGGGTGATTGACGCGTTTACAAAGCATACTGGGGAAGAACCTCAAAATACTTCATTTTTTCTTGTCCTCCGACGTGACAACTTCACTTTGACTAAATAAATTTGAAAATTGTCTTGAATACAAGAAGCGATGGCAGATGAAGAACGTCAGATTACCGAAAATAATTTAGACAACAGCGTTGCGAGCGGCGAAGAAAACGGCGTTCAAAACCAAAGCCAGGCAGAGAGCCACTATTTGGAAGGTTCCCTTGTGCAAAGAGGAGGTACAATTGGTTACCTTGACAAAGAATCCAAGTATCATCCCAGGACGATTTTTAAAGCAGAAGTTACGTGATACTTAAAACTTGGAGGACACGTCGTGGGTTATTTGTTTGCTATAACGAGAATCGATGAGGGGACTGCAAGGCAATCATGATCTGTTTTATTGTGGTTTTCTTTGTTCTTGTTTACTCGCATAGCAAGGCGTGACCTCGTAGTTTTAACTTTGGTTTCCAGAGATTATTACGATACCTCCGCGGGGTAAAGTACTACTAAAAATATCATTCTGAACTAGCTAAAATTATAAAACATGTTTTCATTGCATGTTTCAATGAAAAAATATTTATATTTCGCGAATGCCGAAAGAAAGTTTTGACCGATCAACCGTTAGTAAACTATGCCACATGGCAAGTAGTTAATGTTAGAAGACGGTATATTTTAGCCTTGTATTCTTTTTAAATTCGGAGAGTACGCGCAAAACAGAAATCCAGAACGCTTTGAAGTTAGGACCCGGCCGGACCCGTCTAAGCTTAAAATATCAATACGCTCACTGTAAAAGCATACTTTGTCAGGTGGAAGGGGTAAGCGCATTTTAAATTTTAAACCATTAAAAAGTGGACGGGGCCTATGTTATCAGTTTTTTCACCGCGGTTCAGTTCAACCCCAAAAATATTCTAACTCACCGCCTTGCATGTGCACGTGGCGCGGGACAATAGTGAGCGGCATTTACTTTGACAGCGGTTGCCAGGAAGAATGCGGGCTCTCAAATGGCCATGAAATCATAAATACACACTTTTGTTTAAAATTCACATGACACGATAAGAGTTTTAATGTTTAAAAGTTGTGTAGTTTTTTGGTAGTTGTGACTACATTTTTTTTTAAATAGTAGTTTTTGCACTAAATAACAAATGTGGTTGGTATAAAATAACGAGAAAAAGCATATTCTATTCAGCTTCATTTGAGAGCTTCCATGGTGCTATTAAAAAGTTGGGAAGCTTAAAAGTGTCCTCCCTGAAACTGAGATTCTATATTCCATTATATTTCATGTAATTTCAACTAAGTCTGGAGACTTGTCAACAAAATGACGTCACAACTTCAGCTGAATTTTTTGGAATTTCTAGAGAAATAAGTTTTTGAACAAATTTAACCTTGATCAATACCAATAAACTACACATTTCTAACATTAAATTTTTGAAGCAAATTCAACCGTCAGTAATGCCAATAAACTACATATTGTTAACACTAAATTTTTTTCTTGTCAAATGCACTTTAAAATAAACCTTTTTTTGGTTTCAGGTCTTGATTACGATGTCTTGAAGTTTTGTCTTGATGTTTGGTTCTCAAATATACATTTTTTCCACTTCACCAAAGACATTTTTGCCCATTTCAAGTTTTGACAAGTCATTTCGAGTTTTCATTTTCATTGCAGCATTAAACTCTTATTCTCTTTTTTAGACGTGCTTTTCTCACAAATACGGATTGCGCATCATCCTCGCAGATCCTAAAATGTCTGAACAAGTGCTTCCAGCAAAGAGGTCTATGGATTCCAAAAGACAACCGGCTTGATCCTGCGCTGCCGTTATTATTCCAGAGCTTAATAAAGTTTTATATGAGTTCCCTGGATCCAAAAAAACATTACCATCCAGTGACGGTTAGTCGTTTTTGTTTAAACTATTTAAGCTTAATATGTGATTGATTGATTGATAGATTCAGATTATTCATTTCCCAATTTCATCTTTTAAAGGAAGATGAAAATAAATTTTAAGTTTATATAAGTGCACTGAAAGCACAACTTAATTTTTTCTTTTTTTTAATTTTCAATATAATGTTGAAAAGTGCAAAGGTCTAACGAGAATTCGCTCCAATAAATAATCATTAATTTACAGACTTGGATGAAGACAAAATAAATAGCATTTGTAAACGAATTTGTATAAAATATTCGCTTAGTTCACGGTGTAAAGCTTCAAATTATATGTTGGAATTCCACTATATCGCAAAACACCAATGAAACGCTTTGAGCTTTTGCATATTCACGTTCCTATTAATTGACTATAAAATCGAACTTTGGCTTTTCACATGTGCATTTGATTGAGTTCACTTCACGGTTCACTTTGCTGAGATGGAGACGTATGAAGAGTGCTGTTGCGAAATGTTAGCGGTCGACAAGGACGACGATGCAATCYTATCGCAATTGGTGGACAGTTTTGAAAACGAGAACTCGTCTTTAACTGTAAAAAGTGAGTTTGTTTAAAAGTATGATGATTCTGTTGATTATTTCATGTGATGCTATTGTCTTGACTATTAACTGCTTGTAAATATGTTTTCAACTAAATGAATTACTTCTTTATTTTTAGCTATTGAAGAGGAGCAAGTCGAAGAACCTCAGCAAAGTCGTTTCAAGAAAATGCAAGAGAGGAATTTAGTAGAACTAGCAGAGGAGTCGATTCCAACTAATACAAAGAGTAAAGCCATGTGGGCTTTCCGTTTATACCAAAATTGGGCAATGTGGCGAAAGAGCGGTGACTTTTCTAAAGATGAGAAGTCTATGGTTTCTTAAATAGTGGAGAAGACGACAGAATTGTTGGATATTACGCAAGACGAAAACCTGAGTGACGTTGTTAGCCAATTCATCGCTGAAGTTAGAAAGGAAGGAGGCGAACGATATCCCGCCAAAACATTGCACGAGATATTGAGTAGTTTGCAGAAGTATTTTTAAATGAAGGGGAGAGTAGTTAAGTTTTTTTCTGGAGGGGCATTTGAAAAGCTAAGAAAATCACTAGATATCGAAATGAAAACTTCAACCAATAACAATCTAGGCTTGCATCCCAAGCAGGCACAAGTAATTTCTGAAGAAATAGAAAATTATCTTTGGGAAAACGAATTTCTGGGCGATAGTTGTCCCAAAGTTCTGTTGAGAACAGCCCTTTATTTAATAGGTCTAAATTTTGGCATGAGGGCTGGGGATGAACATAGGAAATTGCCCATAAGTAATTTTTCAATCGATACTGATTCCGAGGGGAGGGAATATTTGCTTTATTCGGAGGGTGTGTCTAAAACTATGCGAGGTGGTTTGAAAGTTAGTAGGACATATGCTAATGTCCAATGTCCAGAGCAATGTGTGGTGCAAATTGTTAAGACCTACATAAGGCGTTGTCCTAAAGATGCATTAGAAAAGGCTTTTTATTTAAAGCCTTTGCAAAATTACAAGAAAGGAGAATTATGGTACTGTAGTGTTCCTTTGGGTCATAATAGACTTAAGAATGTAGTTCAGTCAATGATGAAGGAAACTGGGGTAGATGGTTTTTTCACAAATCATTCTTTGCGAGCAACAGCTGCGACTAGATTGTTCCAAGAAAATGTTGATGACAAATTAATTAAGGGGGTAACTGGCCATAGATCAGAGTCTTTGCAAAGCTACAAAAGGGTATCAGACAATCAATTAGCTAAGGTTTCCAGTATTGTGCAAGCTAGCCAAGGGACCAAATGTAGTGAAAGAACGGCAGTTCCAGCCGTGCAGTCCAACTTTTCGGAGATTGAAAGTAATACGGGGAAAATGTGTCTGAATGTAAGTGGTGGCAATTGTAATATTACAATTTATAACAATTAAGTAAGTACTGTTCATGCGCATAATGATGGCCAACTATAATG